TGGGTGTTATGCACAAACAATGAATCATGGAACACTACATCTAAAACTAATGATGTAATGTATGGGGATTAACATAAGAATAAAAAAAAAAGTAAAGGTGATGTTGGCAAAGATGTGAAGAAATTGGAACTCTCATACATGGCTGGTGGTAATGTAAAATGGTACTGCTGCTATAGAAAACACTCTGGCAGTTCCTTCAAAAGTTGAACATAGAATTGCCATATGATGTAGCAAATTCCACTCTTAGGTATATAGCCAAGAGAATTGAAAACATGTTCACAGGGTGCCTAGGTGGCTCAGTCTGTTAAGTGTCTGCCTTCAGCTCAGGTCATGATCTCAGGGTCCTGGGATTGAGCCCCACATCAGGCTCTCTGCTCAATGGAGAGCCTACTTCTCCCTCTCCCCCTGCTTGTGTGCTTTCTTTCTCTGTGTCAGATAAATAAATAAAATCTAAAAAAAAGAAAGAAAACATGTTCACACAAAAATTTGTATATGAATGTTCATAGCACTGTTTTCCAAATAGCCAAAAAGTGGAAACAACGCAAATGTCCATCAGTTGATGAATGTATAAACAAGATGTGGTGCATAGCAATAAGATATTATTAAGCCATAAAAAAATGAAGTGCTGATACATGCTACCACATGGGTGAACCTTGAAAACATTATGCTTAATGAAAGAAGATGGATACAAAAGGCCACATATTACATGATTTTATTAATATGAAACATCCACAATAAGCAAATCCATACAGGCAGAGAGTAGATTAGTGATTGCCAGGGGCAACGAAGAAGAGGAAATGAAAAAGACAATGCCATGAAAACAATCAAAAGAGTGAGTGACTCTAGAAACATAAGACAAAGTACATTTCAGAGCAAGGATGGAATGTTTCTAATTCATGGTTATAGTAGTGATTACTCCAGTAAAGCTGATTAAAAAAAAAAAATTCAGAAGAGGGACCTACTTCTTGGTCACGTAATTTTTGTCAAGTTCTTTGTTCCTAGGTCTTCCCATCGTATTACCTGGAACTCTCTCCCAACTATAGCTTTAGCCTTTCCTGTTTAGTGCCTTGTGGCCCTTTTGCTGTTCTCTTAGGCTTTTTAGGCTTTTTCCTACTAATGAGTGTTACGGAAACAGAGCTGTTCAGGGTCCTGTTCCCTCTGAGCTGAGTTCTGTGTCTTCCAAACCAATAGATTAAATGAATCCATGTTAATACATTAAAGGTCAAGCCCTTAGAGGAAGGCCTCATCTTAACACACAGAATAGTCATCATTAATATGGCATGATTTTTAAGTCTAGAAAAGCTTCCTTTGTTAAAAAACAAACAAAAAAACCCAGCTTTCTCCTGACCCCATATATAGCAGTGGAAAGAGGGTGTAAGGAATATGTATTTTTAAATAATTCCACAGGTGACTTTACTAATCACTCAGGCTTAGAAACCACTGGATTGAGGTACTGCTCACCCCATCTTTTAAAAACAAAACAAAATACCTTTACTCAGACTTCACTAAGTTTTCATCAAAAATCTTTGCAGGAGACTTTTTTCATATGCTATTTATTATCTACTGTCTCTCATTAGCTCGGTTGGTCTTTTCGTTCCTCTAAAGAAAAAAGGTTTTAGGGGCCCACTTTCATTAAGAATCCACTATGTACAAGGTATTTGACAAGGGCTCATATTTAGTTCTCATAGATGATAAAAATGAGGTTCAAATGGTAAATAACTTGCCCAAGGACATAGCTAGTAGGTAGCAGGAGTGGGTTTTGTATGCTCGACTTTAAAATAAACGTGTTTCCTTTTATGCTGTGCTAACTCTGGGAGGATGGAGCAAATGAGGAGCTATCGTCATCATCTTCACTGACCCATTTGCTCCTAAATTCTCTGCTTCTCCATACCTGGACATACGGAGAAAGAAATAAGTCACTAACACAGAGCATATCTCTGTTCTTAAAAAATCCTGACCATCTTTTCCTAATCAGGTTTTTCAGTGATTTGAGTCACTTGCTTGCCTCACACAGATGGAATCATGGGCTTTTTTTCACTAGTTGACTTATACTATAACCTAATTAGTAATATCTTTACCTTTGATCATTTATAAACTTCTAATATACAACAGCTTTGAGTTACTCAGAGAAACCTTATTTATATTAGAAACTGCCCCCCAGCCAATGGCACAACCTCTATGACTTCAGTTTTCTCTTCTGTAAGATGATGGGGTAGGAGTAGATTATTTCTAAGTTTCCTTTTGCATTCTGTGCACAAAAGTCACTTATTTCGGACACATGACAGATTTGCACAAACATTATTACAAGGGTCATTGGATTTTCAAGCTAGCTCATTAAACTTCTTGAACAAGCAACATACCTAAAATACAGTAATGCAGGTTGGAGGAAGAGACAAAGGGCTCTGTTAAAGAGATAGTCTTGCATATCATTCTGCCTATGTTTACTTCTTGATTGCAATGAAGACAGCATATCTGGTACTTTTGTGTCATCATGTTTTGTTATCCTCTGAGGAAAATCCGTGAAGCGGTTTACAGTCTTCATATCAAATTTGATAAAAAATTTTCTTGGCCAGAGTTTGAAGCCTCTTTTGATAACTTTTAATACTTTGATAACTTTTAATAGTGGTGACTTATAATGAAAGCAGAAATTATTGATCTTAGGTGTCTATAAAGATAACTTTGGAAAAATATCTTCTAGGCAGCTGAGATTCTACTACAACATGGAGCAAACCCAAATCAAAAGAATCAAAAGCAGAAGACTGCTTTGGATGAAGCAGATAATGAAAAAATGAAAGAGCTGCTGAAATCTTATGGTGCAATTGAGACTGATAATAGAGATGAAAGTAATGTTATAACCACTGGTATGTATGTCAGTATTGCTTGCTATTTTAGACAAGCGTATACCTCTGCTTAGAAAAATCTTCAGATTTGTAGTGTAAATTGTTTCATAACTGGGGTAGATGTTTTGTGTGTTTATTAAATTCTTGAAAAGCATTATTTATTTTTAGAAGTTAGCATTTCCAAATTGGTTTAATTTATATACCATATGATCCTGTTGGATTGGAATTACATGTTGAAATGGAACCCATATTATTCATTAAACAATTATTAATCTCTAGAGATAGAGACGTAACTGAAACCACACAAATTGGCTTACTGGTAGTGGGGTTGGAAAAGGTTGGCATTATACTAAAATCTTTGCAGCTAAGATCCCATTATTTCAAAATTTGTAGTGGTTCATGTGAAAGGGCCTGATGCAAACTTTTCAATACTCTAATGTTCTAATGCTAGAATATGAATTTGTTAATAAGCAAATATACTAGTATGCATATATGTATGTGTAAATATAATGTAAAAAATATTCAAGGGAATTTACAGGGAGGCAAAATTTTATGAACCATTTTTTAGAAATAGTTTGCATTTAAATAATATAATGAACTATCTATAAGAAATAGGCATGTAGTAAACACTAATTTAGAAAACATATATTTGTTAAGAACCTGCCAAGCAAATTGAGTATTTGCCTATGAGGAACTTATTCTTGTGGGGAGATCAACCAGAAAACAAACAGTTAAACACAATTTATTAGGTGTTGAGGAGAGTGATTTGTTCTTCCTTTTCTGTCCTGCTTGAGCCTTGACTCATATGAGAAACCCAGAAACATATCTGCCCTTTCTCCCTATGAGGCAGAATAACTGGGAAGAGAACCCCTGTCACACACATTTCCCCCAGCCTACCACTATCTTTACCAATTGTTGATTTTCAAGAGAGGAGTTATATTATTGATATGATTGGTCAGAGCCAAGGATAATCACTGTCTCATATTTTACTAGTGAGATAGATCATGTGTAGCTCAAGGTCAAGACTGATACAAGTTCCTCTTTTCATTGCCTGCTCCAATATAAAGCCCCAGCCATGTCTCTCTCCCTCTCCACAGCCATGTTTCTCTCCCGCCCTTGGAGTTATTGGGCACTCTGTTATGAAGTGCTATATCAATTCCCACTTGTCTGTTGTTTCTTGTGTATACATTTCCTTGATCAAGTACCCTAAAGGGATGAGGGATGAGGGATGTAGGTTACAATAGTTATATGAAGAAAGGGAATCCAGAATGGGAAAAGGGTCAGAGACAATGAATTGTAGACATAGTGATTAACAGCATGGATTTTGGAATCAGATCTATTTTTAGTACTAGCTGTGTGACATTAAGGAAACTTCCGGAATCCCTCTAAGCTTCATTCTCCTCTTCTGTAAAACGGACAGAATAAACTACCTATGAAGATTAAATAAGATGGTTCAGGAAAAGAGTTTGCCATCCACTGTGTGATAAGTATTCAATAAATGTTAGCTGTAATCACTCAATTGATACTAATAATGAGATGCTGATCAACATTAAGTTATTATAGTAATTGTAGACTTAATTTATTTCTATTCCTGTCACCATTAAAATTGATAAAATGAAGCTAAATTTTTACATATTATTATATTTTCTAATTTTAATTTTTAAAGTCAAAATTCCTGCTGTCCGACCAAAAAGACTTAAACGGTGTTTTTGTGATGACTGCAAAACTGTTGATCCACCTTCTCTTTCACACAGAGAAAAGACAAGAGAAAGCCATCCTGTGGTGAGTAAAGTTGAAATCCTTTCATTTTTCATCTTAGAAAATGCCATTCTTTGGGCCAGCCAGCCATTGGCTATTGGCAGTATTCTTTGCATTTTAAGGACACACAGGTTGAAAATATTTTTTGTTACAAGAAAATAATACAGTTAATGAGCCAAGGAAATATGTTGTACAGTTAACTCACTTATCTGCATTGAATACAGAATTATGGATTAGCTGCTATGCTTTACAACTAGGTTGTATTCTTTAGCTACTTCTTGTCCCACTATCATAGTGTGTCTTCATCCACCCATTCCCACAAAAAGTCTAGGTTGCATAGTAAGTAGAAAAGATCCTAGAACCCAGACAAGAAAAGAAAAACAACTGGGGTTAGCCAACGTGGAATCTCACATGGTTTATAGTGATAGTGTTTGCTATATGTGAAGCTCTTCATATAAAAGTATATTTATACAAAAATAACATAGTAGTTGCTCAATAAAAAAATGTTACTTGTTAAGATGGATATGTGTAACTTGATTAAAAACATAAAGCTTACTAGAAACTAACTCCTTAAGAAAGTAGCATCCTCAATGAAATACTATTTTGAATAATACTATGTATGTTCAGGGGCACCTGGGTGGCTCAGTTGTTAAGCATATGCCTTTGGCTCAGGTCATGATCACAGGATCCTGGGATCGAGCCTCACATCAGGCCCCTTGTTCAGCAGGGAGCCTGCTTCCCTCTGCTTCCCTCTGCTTCCCTCTGCCTGCTGCTCCCCCTGCTTGTGCTCTCTCCCTCTCTGTCAAATAAATAAAATCTAAAAAAAGAAAAAAAAAAGACTATGTATGTTGATGAGACTTCTCTTACATGCTTTCTGTTAGTCATTGTAAAGAAGACATTGCCATTCATTGAACCTAAACTATTAATCAACAAATTTGTAGCTTAAATATTTTAACTTAAGTGGTATTCAAACTAAATTACATTTGCCTCAGCACTTTGAAAATGTTTTACACTGTTTCCTGGTATCTGTTGTCATGGACAGAAAGTCAACCATCAATCTGTCATTCCCTTGTAGATAATCTGTCTTTTAATCTTACAGATTTTATATTCTTCACTAAGTTGTGTCTAAATGTGGAGTGTTTTTATTAATTATAATCAGGCCTAGAAATGCTCCTTTAATCTGAAGGCACATTTCTCATTTGTATTTCAGGAACTTTCAGTCCTTATACCTTTGAAAATTGCCCCTGCTCCATTCTCAGTATTTTTCTGTTTTTGTAACCTCTATTCAGATGTCTTTTAGACCAGTCTCCATGTCTTCTAGTATCTTCTTCATATTTTCCATCTCTTTAACTCTCCACAGTATATTCTGTGTGATATCCTTTGACTTCTCTTCTAGTTCATTATTATTCTCCTCAAATATTTCTAATCTATTTAACCCATACATTGAGTCTTTAAATTAAATGACTGTTTTTTATTTCTAGAAATTATGTTTGCTTTTCAAATTTTTTGTTTTAAAGAAAGAACAAAATAAAACAAAGACTTTTCTGCTCTTAAAATATTGATAGGATTTTTAAAAATCCAAGCGTGTTTTGAAAGGAATTTCAAAGTCTCTTCCTGATTCTTTCTCATGATAACATGATTCTTTATGTGGCTTTTAATTTTTTATTATAATCCTCTTTCCATGAGGACTGATTACTGTGGAAATTTTGATGTGCCTAACCTTTGTGTTGAACATTTGCATCTGCTGAGGCCCTAGAAGTTTATCCGTTTCATACAAGTTTTTATGCTAATTTCTCAATTTGGGTTCCTAAACCACACAAATTATATAAATTTAATTCTTATATATATGTGTGGTATAGGCTTGAGTCTCTAATTTTCTACCCAAAGCCTTGGGTGGTGACAAGTAGAGTTTTTCTAACCTTTAGTTAAGCTAAAGGTCACTAACTTTATGTGGGGATTCCATGCCTCCTTTTCCTTTGTGAGCATTAAAAACCCAGCCCCTAATACCTATATTTGTTCCAAATCCCCGATGGGTCACCACTAGTTTCATTTCTGACACCAGGGAATTTTTCAGTCATTTTCCATTCTTAGCTGTGTGTGGGTATATATATATTTTTAAAGATTTTATTTATTTATTTGACAGAGACACAGCGAGAGAGGGAACACAGGCAGGGGGAGTGGGAGAGGGAGAAGCAGGCTTCCCGCTGAGCAGAGAGCCTGATGCAGGGCTTGATCCTAGGACCCTGGGATAATGACCCGAGCTGAAGGCAGACGCTTAACAACTGAGCCACCCAGGCGCCCCTGTGTGTGTGTATATTTAAAGTTTGTTGTATTTTGTATACTGTTTCCATGTGTTTGGAGTAGGCAGAGGTTCTTCTCTATCAGCTCAGCCCACCATATCTTTAAGGTGTGTTTTCATGTAAAAATTAGAACATCTTGGGGCGCCTGGGTGGCTCAGTTGGTTAAGCGACTGCCTTCGGCTCAGGTCATGATCCTGGAGTCCCGGGATCGAGTCCCGCATC